CCATAATGCACCGCGCGGTTACGCCTACGCCGTGTTGCGTTCGGGAGGGTGGCGACCTCAGGCGCGGAACCAAGAGTTGGGGCTGCGGCTCGCTGCTACCATGGCCCCGAGGAAACAGGCCTGGAGTGGGAGTACTGAAGGAGAACTTTTATATACAGTGAATATACGAGAGCATGGTCGACTAATTAATCGGCAATCGGCAGTCTGCAGTCGGCGGCTTCGGGCTCTCTGAGCCCAAGTTATATAGCCCTTCGAGGGCGAGAAGGCCCTCTGAGAGAGAGGAGCCTTCCCCGGTGTTGAAGTGTTCACGAGGTGTCCGAAGTGCGGGGGCGGCTGAGGCAATTTCCCGGTGTTCTTTCAGCGAGGGGCAGATGATGTAACCCCTCGACGTTCTTGCCGCGCTCCAGTGGCTGATGTAAGGAGTCGACGTTCTTGCTGAAACTCAACACCGACAGACCCACACACACACAGGCACGCACACGTACGCCGGTGTTTCTCCTTGCGAGGGCCCGCGATTCCAGATGGTCTCGTGGCTTCAGGAAGACGCTCTGTTTTTAGTTTAAAGCCCCCAGTGAAGGCCGTCGCAACAGTCCCTCCGCCGCCCGGAAGTCGGTCCCGAAGAGAAGAGGTCAGCAGCCACTCCTTTGAGGGACCGCAGTAGTGCCGATGAGGAGGTGGATCGCCGTCTCCGGCTTTTCTTGAGTGCCGGGCATTCTCTCTGCTCATCTCCAAGCGCTTGGGGCAGCTTGCGAAAAATCTTGAGAGGATGATAAAATTGAACCAAGACCGCACTGCAAATGCGCATCTAGCAAACCCCTTCGAACACACACCAGGCACTAAAAGGTATGAAAATCGCTCTTAGCAAGATCATAAATAAAACGAAACCCCTACCAGGGCTCGGCACCCACAAGAAAGCAACAAAAGGCACGAAACCAAAATCAATAGTATCCCAGCTTGGGTAGAATTGTTTAGCAAAATAAAGTAAATTTTTGGCATCCATGAGCTCGCTCAGTAAAGACTTGTCTCTACTCACTTATGAGCGTCGGCTCAAGCCATCCGCGTTGGTGTGCAGTTTACCCTTTTTGTACCTGACCTCAAAAGAAAACTGTTGCAAAGCTAGGCTCCAGCGAAGGAGTCGGCCATTTTTGGGCGACATATTCTGCAACCATTGGAGGGGACAATGGTCCGTCTCGATGATGAACCTCGAGCCTGCCACATAGCACGCAAGCTTTTGCACGGCCCACACCAAGCAAGCGCACTCTTTTTCCGAAGCGCTGTAGGCTTCTTCGCGAGTTGTCAGCTTTCGACTGACGTACAAGATGGGATGCTCCTCGCCTAAGTCGTCCTTCTGGCTTAGTACGACCCCAAGACCGCGGTTGCTGGCGTCGCACTGAATGATAAACGTGCGCTCATAATCTGGCGCCCTCAGGACTGGTTTGCTCATTAGAGCCTTCTGCAGAGCGCGAAAAGCCTGCTCTTTTCGATCATTCCAACGAACCTCTTGAGGCTCTGTCTTTCGGAGGGCGTCAGTGAGTGGGCTAGCAACATCCGAATAATTTGGGATGTAGTGTTGGTAGTATCCTGCAATGCCTAGGAAAGACCTAATGTCTGTTTTTGTGAGTGGTTGAGGAAACTCCTCGATGGCTGCAAGCTTTACCTCGGACGGTCGGCGGCAACCGCGACCCGCCACGTGTCCCAAGTACGTTACTTCTCCCCTTCCCAATTGACACTTTTCCGCCTTTACGGTGAGGCCCGCGTCTCGGAGTCGTTCGAAAACAACTCGAAGATGTGCAAGATGTTCGTCCCAGGACTCGGAAAACACGGCGATGTCGTCCAAGTACGGAACGGCAAACTCCTCTAGACCTCGGAGCACCCGATCCATTAAGCTTGAAAAACAAAACGGTGCATTTTTGAGGCCGAAACTGAGGACACGAGGCCGGAACGTTCCAAAGGGGGATATAAAAGCGGCATACCGGCTCGCTCTCTCCGAAAGGGGGACCTGCCAGTAGCCTCGAACAAGGTCCAACGTGGAGATATACTTGGCAGCGCTCACCATCTCCACCCGTTCTTCAATACTGGGGATGGGATACGTCTGATCTTTGGTGATAAGGTTGAGGCGCCGGTAGTCAACGCACGGGCGAGGTTCTTTTCCCGGTACCTCCACAAGTATCAAAGGAGAAGTGTAGTCACTCTCTCCTGCCTCAATCACCCCCAGATCAAGCATGCGCTTCACCTCCCGCTCCATGATTTCCCTCTGTCTAGGCGAGACTCGGTAGGGCTTTGACCGCACGGGCTGGTCGGTGGTAAGCTCGATGTCGTGAACTACAAGATCGGTTATTCCTGGCTTACTCTGGAACTGATCTATAAACTCCCCAAGGAGTGCCTTCAGATCACCTAGTTGCCTTGGTTCCAAATCAGCCGACACAACAGCCTTCTCGAGTACCTGTTCGACCGAGCACACGATCGGGGTTTCACTAATCTCGGGAAACTCAAGACTGACCTCCTCGGCGTGGTTTACCGTCAAACTCATCACAGTCTCGCGTTGCCGGTACGGCTTCATTAGATTGCTGTGATACACTTTCTGGATTTTACGTTTCCCGGGCGTGCTCACGACGTAGTTCACGTCCGAAAGTTTATGCAACACTTCCACGGGTCCTTCCCATTGCACCTCGAGCTTATTCTTCGTCGATGGTCTCAAAAGCATCACCTTGTCGCCGACGGAAAAGGTTCGCGGCTTAGCGGTTTGGTCGTAATACCGCTTTGCCTTCACCTGAGCGTCCTTCATATTACTTTCGGCAATACTTCGACTGCGGTTCAGGCGATCAAGAAGCTTGAGCACGTACTCCACTACAGTGGGGTCTTCCCCGTGACCCTCCCATGACTCTCTTAGCATTTGGAGCGGAGATCTCAAAGATCGGCCGTATACTAGCTCGGCAGGGCTAAAACCAGTTGCCTCGTGTGGCACAGATCTCAAAGCAAACATCGTTGCTGGGAGGCATGCCTCCCAGTCAGTCTTGTGCTCATAACACAATGCTCGCAGCACCCGTTTCATCACCGAATGCCATTTTTCTACGCTGTTGGATTGCGGGTGGTAGACGGAGCTATGAATCAACTTAATACCACATCTCTCCAAAAACGTAGTGGTCAGAGCACTGGTGAACACACTACCCTGATCGCTTTGGATTTCGGCGGGAAATCCAACGCGTGCGAACACCGAAAGCAACGCGTTCACCACTTCCACAGAGCAGAGCTCTTTTAGCGGGATCGCTTCGGGAAACTTTGTCGCGGGGCAAAGAATCGTCAGGATGTGGCGGTATCCCGACTGTGTAACGGGAAGGGGGCCAACCGTGTCGATAACCAAACGGCGAAAGGGTTCTGTGATTATTGGCACGAGCTTTAGCGGTGCCTTGGTCTTGTCATGTGGTTTTCCGATTCGTTGACACGTGTCGCAGGACCGGACGACCTCCTCAACCTCTTTGAAGCACCCCGGCCAGTAAAACTCCTGGAGGAGGCGATCTTTCGTTTTTCTCACTCCTAAGTGTCCTGACCAAGAGTTGCCATGCGCTAGGTGGATGAGATCGCGCCGGTACTTTGCAGGCACCACAAGCTGATCAAATTCAATACCCTTTCGGTCTTTATACTTCCGATACCACACCCCTTTCCTTTTTTGGAAAGCTACATTCCGTCGGGAGACTCCTTCCGTTCTCGACCTCAGATCCTTAATAGTGGGGTCTGCTTCCTGCTGTGCGATCAGAGAATCGCGATCGACACCCAGCAGTTTCTGCAATTCACCCGACTCGGGGATAACACAGAGGCCTTCGGAACCCTCCATGTCGAGACATTTTAGAGCGCAGCTCTTAGGGGCCCGTTCCCGGCTTGAGCGGCGTCGCCGTCGGCGTCGGCGTCGCCGTCGCCGTCGGCGTCGGCGTCGGCGTCGGCGTCGGCGTCGGCGTCAGCGTAACCGCAACCCTCGTAACCCTCGTGAGGGTTACGAGGGTTACGAGGGTTAATCTCATGAGGGTTACCCTCACGAGGATCACGAGGGCCACGAGGGTTACTTACCCTCGTAACCCTCACGAGGGTTACGAGGGTTAGTTACCCTCAAAAGGGTTACCTTCACGAGGGTTACCCTCACGAGGGTTACTTACCCTTGTAACCCTCACGAGGATTACGAGGGTTACTAACCCTCGTGAGGGTAACCCTCGTGAAGGTAACCCTTTTGAGGGTTACGAGGGTTAGTAACCCTCGTGAGGGTAACCTTCACGAGGGCTACCCTCACGAGGGTCACGAGGGTTATGAGAGTTACCCTCACGAGGGTTACTTACCCTCGTAACCCTCACGAGGGTTACGAGGGTTAGTAACCCTCGTGAGGGTAACCTTCACGAGGGTTACCCTCACGAGGGTCACGAGGGTTATGAAAGTTACCTTTACGAGGGTCACGAGAGTTACCCTCACGAGGGTCACGAGAGTTACCCTCACGAGGGTCACGAGAGTTGCCCTCACAAGGGTTACTAGGGTTACCCTCACGAGGGTCACGATGGTTACCCAGGTCAAGTGACCCCCCCTGGGGTCACGTGACCTGGGGATACCCCCGAGGTCACGTGACCCCCCGTTGACGTCATAGCCACTGATGACGTCATCAGTGACGTCACTGATGATGTCACCGGCATCCGCATCGTCATCGTCATCATCACTGATGACGTCATTAGTGACGTCACTGATGACGTCACCGGCATCCGCATCGTCATCATCATCACTGATGGCGTCATCAGTGACGCTACTGATGACGTCATCGGTATCGTCACGTGGCCCCAGGTCACGTGACCCCCGCGACGTCACGTGACGCCCCAAGGTCACGTGACTCCCACAAGGTCACGTGACCCCCAAGGTCACGTGACCCCCCGCCCCCGAGGTCACTTGACCCACCCCCCAGTACCGTTCCCTCCTCCTCCTCAAGAGCTGCGCTCTAATTCGGCGTTACAGGGAGTTGTAAACGGCTTTCATTTTTTTTTTTGAGCCTTCCCTTCCGAGGTTTTCTCTACCGGTGTTTCTTGTTCTTTTCGCCTCTCTGGATCGGCAGCGCCAACGTCACCCCTGACAGCCGAACGCGAGGCGTTCGAAAGTGGGGTTCTCCCGGTGGGAACGTCTGCCTCATTTCCGTACTCTAGTTTTGCTGCCAAGTCTCGGGCTTTAGCCCTAGTCAAGGCCAGGACGGTGCCCTCACAAAACGTTTGGCCTCTCTCCCGCAGCAGCTCCTCCGACCTGTTGGAAAACAGGTACGGATACCCCAACGGGAGATTGGCCGACACGGCCGCCTCCGTCTCAAGGGCGCCGAAAGGACCCTCGATGTGCACCCTGGCGACCGGCAGGCACACGCTATGCTCTTCGACCACCTGTTTAATCCACGCGCACTCTCCCGTGTACTTCGTAGAGTCTACGTAAGAGGGGTGAATCACATCCATAGTGGCGGCCGAATCGCGAAGCACTCGGCACTGCCTGCCGTTCACCGTTAGGTCGCGCAAATATGGCTCTAGTAACCGGAGGTTCTCATCGCCATCGTTTACGTAGGCGAAGACCACCTTGGGCTCTCTGCATCCGGCCGCGACATGACCGGGCTTTTGGCAGTTATAGCATGTTAGGGGCCGGCGAGCCTCAAATGACTTCTTTTTCTCGTGATCCACCCTGCCATCGGCGCCTTCGCCGGCCTCTCCTTTCGTTCGCGCTGGTTCCTTCCGGTTTTCGCCCTCGACCCTCTTTGGCCGCCCGTCTCTCGAAAATCGACCCCCTGGCCACCTCCCGTCATCTCTTTTGCCAGGCGGGAACGCTTTCTCTTTACGCGGGTGACCTTTCTCGTCTAAGGCCCGGCGAGTCGCAAACACTTCCGCCACCTCCGCGGCCCTCTGAACAGCCCTTGCGTCCGGCTTATCCTGAACCCAAAGGCGGGTCTCCTCAGGGATGCGACGCAAGAACTGCTCTAGGCAAATGCACTCCACTACTTTATCGTGGTCCCCGTGCGCGTCTACGCCTTTGAGCCATTCCACTAGATTTGCTCTCAAATTGTAAGCAAACTCCGGAAATGACTCGTTCGGCTTCTTCTCGGCGCTACGAAAACGCTGCCGAAAGGCTTCAGCGGAAAGACGATACTTTCTAAGGAGGCTTGTTTTGACCTTTTCATAGTCCTCCGCTTCGTCTTTCGTGAGCCTTGCGACCACGTCTGCCGCCGGACAAGGAAGAAGCGTTAAGAGACGCTGCGTCCAGGTTTGCCTAGCGAACCCGACCTTTTCGCAAGTGCGCTCAAAGTTCACCAGGAACAAACCAACGTCCTCTCCGATTGTAAAAGGCTGCATTAAGTTCTTCATCTTAAATGATTTGCCTTCTCCTGTGCTGGATGCCGGGCTGCCCTCCCGATCACCCCTTGACTTTACTAGCTCGAGTTCAAGCCTCTTCATCTCGAGCTCCTGCTCTTGGCGTTTCAATTCCGCCTCTTGGAGCTTCAATTCTGCCTCTTGCGACTTGAGTCTGTCGCTCCGCTCCTGCTCTTGTCGTTTCAATTCCGCCTCTTGCGACTTGAGTCTGTCGCTCCTCTCCTGTTCCTCTAGTTCCCTTTTCTCTTTGTCTATTCTCTGCACTTCCTCCCAACACTCGGATAACTCGGCCTCATCTGTACCAAAGTCGAGAATTGCCTTGATAATGATCGGCTTTCTTTTTAGTCCCCTGATATCCACACCTAACTCCTCGCAGATACGTATCAATTCTGGCTTACGCAGCGAACTGAGGTCCATGACCGTTCCGAGCACTGGCTAAATTCCAAAACTACTATTATGACGTGCAACAAATGCTGCGTCACAGATAGCCACAAAACAAAACACCCGCTTTACACTATTTAACCCAGAAGGTAAAGCCTGGTGAGTACTCAAAGGGAAAAGCCAGACACTCACCCACAAGTGTGATCAATGGTCTGCGTGGAGTCGATCCCGTCGCTGCCAACCAGTTGTTGCGTTCGGGAGGGTGGCGACCTCAGGTGCGGAACCAAGAGTTGGGGCTGCGGCTCGCTGCTACCATGGCCCCGAGGAAACAGGCCTGGAGTGGGAGTACTGAAGGAGAACTTTTATATACAGTGAATATACAAGAGCATGGTCGACTAATTAATCGGCAATCGGCAGTCTGCAGTCGGCGGCTTCGGGCTCTCTGAGCCCAAGTTATATAGCCCTTCGAGGGCGAGAAGGCCCTCTGAGAGAGAGGAGCCTTCCCCGGTGTTAGAGTGTTCACGAGGTGTCCGAAGTGCGGGGGCGGCTGAGGCAATTTCCCGGTGTTCTTTCAGCGAGGGGGCAGATGATGTAATCCCTCGACGTTCTTGCCGCGCTCCAGTGGCTGATGTAAGGAGTCGACGTTCTTGCTGAAACTCAACACCGACAGACCCACACACACACAGGCACGCGCACGTACGCCGGTGTTTCTCCTTGCGAGGGCCCGCGATTCCAGATGGTCTCGTGGCTTCAGGAAGACGTTCTGTTTTTAGTTTAAAGCCCCCAGTGAAGGCCGTCGCAACAGCCGACGCCGACGGCGACGCCAACGGCGACGCCAACGGCGACGCCAACGGCGACGCCGACGCCGCTCAAGCCGGGAACGGGCGCCTAAGAGCTGCGCTCTAAAAATCAATTTTAGAGTACTTTATATTGCTCGTGTAATTTGCGTTAAAGATATAAGTAAAGTAGACGCTGCTCAACAATCTGAGAATACGCAAATCAGAAGTCAGAATCTAAAGGCCGTTTCAGCGTAGCGTGGAAAAGGGCGAGCGCTACGTCTTTCATGAGGCTATAAGAGCGATGGAGCGAAGCACGTGACATCTCTCTACAGCTGGATTTCATTCCGACAGGGTGTTGTCACGTGTCTCACTACAGCGCTATGATTGGCTCGCTGGGTTCGTAGCCTGCGGCGTTTGCCGGCCTATGCTGAAAGAAGGTTAGACATTCATAAAATACTTCCAAGCCTCACTCTACAGGTCATGCCATTCTAGGATTTTTGAGCGACTATCGAGGTGGTCGGCGCCATTTTCCCCGTGGAGAAATAACCCCGTCCTAAAAACGAGCGGATCTCAAAGGACAAGACTCCGACTAACACACCGCGCTAATGTTCCCCCATTCCCGGTGGGTTGGCAAGTAATCACGCAGATGGGAAGAGCTATCTTTAATGGAGTAGTTGAAAGCTTCAGAGAGTGTGAGAGAGAGAAGAAGCAAAGCGGGAAAGGGAAGCGTTTGAGTCTTGAGAGACCAATGACGTTTCTGTGAACCCCATTGAATATATATATATTTTTTTTTTGTTGATTGAAGCAGGGCGGGGTTGGGCTTTGGTAAGCGGGCGGGCAAATATTGCGAGGACCCCGGTTTGAAGAATTGACTCGGTACATCGTGAACACCGTGGGTCTGAGTGGGCGGGGACGTTCCGGACCCGCTTCGCTCTTCTCGACACGCCCCTATATTGATGGACGAGGTGGGGATGGGCTTTTTCCCACAACTTAGGCCCTGGAAGCCCGCGTGTTAGGGGAAGCACCATCTGCTTCTGAATTGATGCCCTTGTCTTCTGCATGCTTTGAGGGGTTCCTTGTGGTCCTGCGCCGCCTTGAAAATACAGGAATAAAGAAAGATACGACCTTTCTTGTTGCGGGAAGGGCTGCTTTCACGCGTTGGGGAACTGAGAGCTAGCACAGCAGGCGTCATTTTGGCAAAGGCTCTGTCTGAGTAGCTAGGAGGCGGCTTTAAGGCCTCTAATGTCTTGTCGGCCACCCGGTAGTGTGATGGTAGATTTTGAATGAAACGTGTTTTGTTAATGCTGATTCTAGCAAGCCGCGTTGTTCCAGGATGTGCGAACCGTGGGTGTCTTGGAGCAGAATGAAGACAAACGGCTCAGCTTTTGGAATCAATAAGGTTGTCTCTTCTGTTTGTGTTCAAATCTAAGCTGAGGAAGTGCCGTGATTTGAAAGAAGAGGCGATTTTTGTGGCATCTGGAATTTTAGGCAATGAAGTCCGCGGTTGTCTTTTTTGTCGACGTTCGATGCGTGTTTAAAGCGGGAGTCTAAGAGCTTTCACTGACTCCAATGTATGAGTTATCTTGGAAAGATATCCTAAGTTTCATTAATTTTCTCACCAAATACAATATTACATATATCGTTTTTGCGATGCATTATATGAGATTGCAGCGTAACAATTTAGAAACCAGGTAAATGAAGGGTACTTGCATGATTAGTCTTAGAAAAAATAAAAAGTCAATTACAATGTGTGGTCTATTAAAATAAAGAGAAAAAAAAATAAAGGTTAATTCTTGTTTCTAACCCCAAGCATTCTGGGACTGGTTAAAGCAAACTTAGCATAGCCGTCTAACATTGCCCAACCGAATGGGTCCTTCTTATAGCTTGAAACTGCACTTGCTGCCCGGCAACATCTTTGGAAATGAACCTGATGGATACTCACAACTTAAACGGGGCGCCTGGATGAGGAATTTATTGAGGGTACAATTTCGTGGAAGTCAATGCCGTCAAATGCTGGAGGCGTGTATACATTCAGAATGCGAATGAGTGATCACCCTCTCCGGCCTCGCAAGCTAGTCGACACCGCGAAGACATGTCGTAGATGTTTCTTCATCTCGTGGAAGATCGCCTAAGTTTTCAAGTGGGATGGCTGAAAGAGCTTGTTCCATTTGTTGGCTTGGCTGTTGGCTCACATTCTGCTGAACGGTACTCACCTGGGTGGCGAAGTGATTGACGTGCTGTTCAAAAAGACTATAGTCACTGACAACGTAAGAATGGCAGGGAGGAGCTTGAGACATCCCATCTCCGGCGCGAACTTTCCACCGTTTTATTTTCGATAAGGGTTTGGAGTCTCTTACAGCTCAAGCGCGCACGAGCAGCCATGCAGAACACGGAGGAAACCATATAGAGTGCGTGTAGGATGCCGTCTTACTCGTCCTGCCCTTCTCACTCAAAGAATGACTATAGCGGTGTCTGTTGTGGACTTCTCGGCGCTCGGTTGCAGAGATGTTTGGTCAGCCGGGCAGACATGGCTCCGTCTCTGATGCCTGGGAGCGGGTATTAGACTTTGGAGTACCGCTGGCGCCATATGTATCGTTGTAACACGTCTCTGGTTCTTTTTTCGTGCAATTGAGCCACACCTAAAAAAAAAAAGAAAAAGAAAAGCCACGCACATTATGAAAAGTTGCGAAACGTTTTTAGGTATTTGGCTACAGTATTGTATATATCTTTTTGTTCCGGTCGAGTTTACACACCGTGCTCTTTCTGTTTATATAATTTGAAGCTTAATGTCATCTTTATACGAATGTCACTACGTACTGGGTGTTATTACGTGCCAGTGTTGACGGTAATAAGTTACAGGTAACGCCCCGTTAGGGAAGCGTGTAAAGTTTTTGGTATCGTTCTAACGTACTCGTTTTGAAAACAGTAACGCAAAACGTATTCGTTTTAAAAACAGTAACGCAAAACGTACTCGCGTTACTCCTGTAACCTAGTTGCGGCACTCGTTACTCCTTTCCAAAGCTCGAAAAGAATACATTACACTTTTTTGTGTTTCTAGGTGCCATGTTTAGTAATGTGAATTCTTGCGCTTTTCTTCACGTTTGTACTCGTGAGTATTCAAGTGGAATCCTAAAAGACAAAGGTAAAACAATCATGCTAAGTTTCCGTTTAAGTATAATGATTCTTGCAATATGGCGCTTATGCATACCTGTAACGGTAAAACGGTAAAACATTTTTATTCATAAATAAAAAGCAAAGCAAAATTGACGTGGGTTCATTTTTATTGTTAACTGCAACGCCATTCGTTTCTTTTGTTTCGAGCTCACGTAGGTCTGTAACGCGTTCCATTTATTTACAGGTAACGAGTAATGTATTTCCTTACCTTTTTCATAACGTTTACAGCCCTGCTACGAACGGCACTGGCTAAATTTCTCATTGTCAGTGAGTAACAATGTCGCAATTCTCTGGCAGAGTAAACTTCCGCTATGTAAACAGAAGACGACTGATGTTTGCTGAAAGCCCTCGCTTCCTTTTGTCAAGCTCTTCATTGCTCTATGATGCTTTGGAAGCCCATGTGTTCCTTTGGAGGAGGTGCATAAATAATGCTGCTGTGTAAATGTCTCAGGAGCCCCCCCCCAATGTGTTAAAATATTATTTAATATCCAAACAGAGTACAACCCTCGTGATGGATTACCAATAAGCGGTACGTGTGTGGGCAGGAATCATTATTAGCACATTTGGCATTTAATGAACCTACAGATGCTGAAAGTTCCGAACATGCCCACTGGCACTGTATGTTTGTATAAGTGTTATTTGTTAATAGATCCTTTACGAAATTCAGTCAGGCAACTATGAGATACCGAAACCGCCGCCATTACTGCGTCGTCGTTTCGGGAGCGAGTGATGGCAGGTGCTTGTGGCAGCACTCCCGGTACCTTTGACTACAGTCCTCAGGTACGAGTGACTTTGCCTTTTCCGTGAAGCACTGGCCTCATTGGAGCTCTGCGTAGCTTTGACGAATGTAAGATAGAGGCGTACCGCCCCTCGACACTCGCTTCGAGCCACCAGATTGCCCCAAGTAACACGCTCATCACCGAGGCCTACGTTGATCCGGCTTCGGTTTAAGTGTTGAGGTAAGCACTGTTCGTTCTTGTCGCCCGTTCAACCCTAAGCGTGAGCCAACCCAAAGCTGCAAGTGCGCGCATCATGCCGTGAGCGTGTCTTACGTGAAGGCGGACTTGTGCCGTCTGCCGCTGC